AGAGTGCAGGGCCCCCACACCACGACGGAAAGGGGTCCATCCCCCTCACCTTAAGAAAGTCACCAACGGGCTTGTCACAGTGCTCTGCTTAGGGGAGGCACTTGGTACCAGTAAGTATGCATTTGTAGAACAAATATCTATCTATTGAATTAAGATTCACCAAGTAGCCCCTTACATACAGATGGAATAAGAGAAGAAATATACTTTAATACACTATCAGGAGCTGGGGAGGAGGTTACCTAAGAAGGAAGGGCTGCCTAGTGAAATCCCTCTGACTCTAAAAGTTTGGATGGTGGGAGAAAGGCTCAGATTGAGGTGCCTGGGCCTCCCTTGTAAAAGAAGGCAACAAAAAAGGGTGAGAATGACACAACACTTAAAGCACTCACAATTAAAAATGTATAAGATTGAACACATTATTTTTTTTAAAACTGTCTATCTACAAATAGATAATCAAGGATTTGGCAGAGTTGATGCCATTCAGGCAGAGAAAAGAGAATAGTCCATCTCTTCCTCTCCTTCCCCTATCTGAGCCTTGAGTTTAAAGAAGTCATTTAAATTAACTTCGAAATGTTCTTATAAGATTGCTAAACTCTGTCTATACCAATGAATTCTAATGACACCATTGTTTCCATGGTAACTAATGCACTTCAAAAGGAGGAAAAATAGAGAACAAAACTAAAAACCAGGAAAAAAATGGAATAAAGTGGTATAAACAAGGCATAACATTGCTCCTTTGCATTTATGGAACACTTTCTAATTTCAAATGCTTTGCCATTACTTAGGCTCCAAGGCTTTTAAGAGTCAGAAGGATCTGAGGTCAGCAAGTCCACATCCCAGTCATAGCTGGTATTCCCTACACAATGTGGCGGCTGCACCATGGTTATCCAACTGCTCACAGAGCTCATTGCTGGAAAGTTCTCACTCTCAACTGCAAAGACCACTGCAAAGATTACTGAGTACCTATTTTGTTCTGCTGGTTTAAGAGATGATTAAGGCAGTCTACATTTGCCCGGCCAGCGTGGCTCAGCAGTTGAGCATCAAACCTATGATCCAGGAGATCGAGGTCAGGGCACATGCCCGGGTTGCAGGCTTGATCCCCAGTAGGAGGCATACAGAGGGCAGCTGATCAATGACCCTCTCTCATCATTGATGTTTCTATCTCTCTCTCCCTCTCCCTTCCTCTCTCTGAAATCAATAAAAATATATTTAAAAAAAACAACAAAAAAAAACCCCTCTAGGCTTATTGCTTAAAAAAGAAAAGCTGGTCTACATTCTTTTAAATTTTTTGCTGTTTACAGGGCAAATAATTAAAGCAGAGGGGTGAAAAAAGAGCTGTACAATCAAGATACAGGACAATGTCAAAAAAGCCAACTTGGAGGAAGTATGCATTTCCAATGATTTTCATTTCCACTCCACTTCAGCCCCACACATCCGTGACCAACCACATGGACCTTCCCGTGATCCAGAACTGCTCCAACTCTGCAAACTCCAACTCCAACATTAACTTTCTGATCACAAGCAACTCGTTCGGTCCCTAACTAATCCAGTACCAACCCTATGAGCCTTGTGCAGCCTAAGAACCTTCCTTGGAATACTTCCTCATGATACTTCCTTGCTGATATCCTCAACTTTTATCCTCCCATGGCACTCACTTAGTGATAGCCTAACCTGGACTTAGTGACCACCCATCCCTCCCTCTTCCACACTGTTATGTTCCATAAGGATTCTCTGGCCCACCTTCTGTCCTACAGTCTAGAGAAGAATCTGTCAGAACAACTGTGACATTATTTACCTCTTTACTTCTAGGGCAGTAAGTGTGAAATGCTGCAGGTAAGTGAAAATCACATAAGGACTGAAAGGTATATATGCAGAATTTGGCAACAATGGTCATTAGACTCCCTTCTAGCAAAGTGCATGTAGGGCTTGCCCCACAGCCATAGTTGCCTCAAGTGACAGCATCAGTTAAAATGGTCTCTTGTAAAACATGATGATAATTTAC